GCGTGTGAATATCTATATATATATATAAATATATATATAAATATGATGTATATTATTACCTGTATAAAGAAGGAATCTGTATATATTGGGGCACTTGGAGATGCAGAAATAGCGGTGGGAGTGCTCAGCGGGTGCCGGCTGCGCTGAAACGGGGATTTTGCTGAAATAGCCGTTTTTTTGACTGTGAATTGAGGTTATTTGGGTACCAAAATCCCCTGGTTTTGGGAGATGAGTACACGCCGTTTCTGGAGGAAAGGACGTTTTGGGAGCATGGAAATAAATCCTATAGGAATCAGTGTGTTTCCTCGCAGTATTTTGTAATCCGGTTTGGCTTTGGGTGCAAATGTTTTCTTTCTCTTGCTCCAGCGACAGTATCCCGAGGGGTTCGTATGCTCCCTTGGAACTGCACGTGCTCAAAAATCAATAAGAAGCCCTAAAATCCCTTTTTTTTCCCCCCCAAAAATAGTGCAGGATGGAGGGAAAATGGGCAGAAGGATGTACCCCATCGCCTGCATCTCTGGTACCCAAAGCTCTCTCCACCCTTGATGGAGAAACCCGGGGCCAGGGAGGCGGAAACTTGTCCGAGGACTAAATCAATTTATAATGTGATCCTCTAACCGGCTTCAATTTGATTTTCATTTGTAGCATTACAATTATCAGATTGATATTCCCGACCACTCAACCTTGAAATGGGACAGCGCGGCTCCTGCTGCCGGGGAGCACAGATTATCCGCCTCGCGCTGATTTCTGAGTATTTTTCTAATTAGCCATCAAATCTGCTTTGCTGGGGTTTTCTTTCTTTGCCCTTAAAGTCTTTCCTGATTAAGTTTTCTCCCCATCTCAGCTGCGTGGAACGGCACGAAAAGGGTGGCGAAGTCTCTGGCCCGGCGGTGCAGCGTGCCGCAGGACCACCGGCATCCTCACGAGCATCGGTGATGCCTGTGGGAAGGCTGGCAAGGAGCTCATGACTTTTTCCACCCCTTTTTTCCTCTATTTTTTTTTTTGTTTTGTTTTTTTTTTCCTTTGCAGTTTTGCCACCTTTGGGGTGGGCGTGTGGTTCTCAAGGGAATATCGCCCTGTGGCATGGTAGGGAGTGCCCATGCTATGCAATTGCAACCGCACAGTTAAAAAAAAATAATATATCTATTTCTTGCAATGCTGTACGCAAGGCCACCTGTGGAGTTTGCACTTTATTTAACAAGAGGATGTTATAAAAACAATTTATAGGACCCCAGATGCTGTCCCTCCAGGCTCTCCAGCCTGCGCCGGCCACCTCAGCTACAATTTAATTTAAAACATCCCAATCTAAGGATGCTACATTGAGCTGCGTTGCTGCTTTTGAGGCATGGAGGAGATGCTGCTGCAGGTGTTTTCCCCCCCGCTGTGCATGGCCTGATGGCACGGGGAGGCTGCTCTACCACCTTGGATATTATTTTCCTCGTCCCAAATTAAGGTCCATTAGCTAATGAGGAAGTTTCTTGCGCTGCCTGCTAGTGGTGGGTGTTGTGCTCCCAAAAGGGGGGGACACCCATCAAAGCCACTGGGTTTGTTGCTGCCACCTTAATGAGTCACCTCATTAACCCTAGCAGGGTCCAACCCCAATCCCACCCCAGTCTGGAGCAGCCACCACCTTCGCCCATGCACGAGCAGCAAATCTTTCCCGATTTAACCACAAAAATGCACTTAATGTGTTAAATTCAAATATTTCTACGTTGGTGCCCTACAGAAGATGCTTTTTGCAAGACTTGAGCCCACTCCCCCTCATCCAGCCTGGGGCTGGGTGTCTTGCACCAAGACTCATCTTCCTAATCTTATAATAATAATAATAATAATAATTTTATTTTTATTTATTATTCCCCCTTTTCCTTCTTGATATTCTCTGTGTCCATCCCTTCCTCCAGGTTTGTTGTCTCACCTGGATGCGAGCTCGTTGCAGGCAATGTTTGCAAGCTCCCGGGAAATGCTATTAGGCAGAAGGCGCCCTTTAACATCTGTGTCGACAAAACCGAATGTATAAAACCCTGGGGCTCTGGTTTAGAGAAGATTTTTTGTTATTCTCTAAAAGGTGCTGCCTGGGGGGGGCTGCAAGGGGCTTGGAGCAGCGCCCTTGGCTTTGGAGCTTGAGGGGGTTGAGGGGGGGGTTGGACTTAAAACGAAGATTTTTGCTATTTGAAGGGTTAGAAATAGTTGAGGGTGTGGGTTTTTTTTCTTTCAGATGTGTTTAAAGGAGAAACGGGCTCATGACCCTTCTCCCAGGGGGATGCATCGTGCAAGGAGCATCTCGCACACAAGCATCCTTGCAACCGCTTTTGTGACTTTCTGGTCCACGGAAGATGAGAAGAGGCATTTTCTGCACCAGCATGGCCCAAGCCGGGTAAGGACAAGGGGGAGCTGCTTCCATGATGGTTTTAATCCCTGAGGATGCAGAAGCCTCCACCCAAATCACGCTCTTTGCCCATCTGTACACAGCTGCAGTTATCCTTTCCCACCTTCCTCCTCCTCCATCCCCTTCAGTTGGCACCAAGCCCTGCCCAGACCCTGGTGGCTGATAGTCCTCAGCCCTCATCTGTGTGGTGATGAGGATGGAGAGCGATGGATTCACAAGCAACTGCTGTCCTAGAGCCTCCCCGAGTGATTGAAAAGCATCTCCTAGCCTGGGCTGGCCAGGGGCCAATGCTGCATGGCTCTCCCCAGCCAGGGGATTAAGGATGTTCCAGTCATGTTCTTGGCTGAAGGTCAGGGGGCCATGCTTTCCACCCTGGAGCATGGCATGGGGCGTAGGTGGGCACAGAGTCATGGATGTGCCATGGTCCAGGTCCTGGGGGGGATTGTGGCTCGGCCACCAGCCCGGAGGGCAGTGGTATGTGCTCAGGATGAGCTTTTGCTTGAGAAAAGGTACAGAGAGCTCGATGGGGGTCCCTTGGCTTCCTGGACAGGCTGGAGAGTTGGGCAGAGAGGAACATGATGAAATTCAATAAGGGCAAGTGTCGAGTGCTGCACCTAGGGAGGTTGAACCCCATGCACCAGTACAGGCTGGGGGCTGACCTGCTGGGAAGCAGCTCTGCCGAGAGGGACCTGGGAGTCCTGGTGGATGACAAGCTGACCATGAGCTTGCAGGGTGCCCTTGTTGCCAAGAAGGCCAATGGCATCCTGGGGTGCATTAAGAGGAGTGTGACCAGCAGGTCGAGGGAGGTTCTCCTCCCCCTCTACTCTGCCCTGGTGAGACCCCACCTGGAGTACTATGTCCAGTTCTGGGCTCCCCAGTTCAAGAAAGATGAGGAACTCCTAGAAAGAGTCCAGAGGAGGGCAACAAAGATGATAAAGGGACTGGAGCATCTCCCCTACGAGGAAAGGCTGAGAGAGTTGGGCTTGTTCAGCCTGAAGAAGAGAAGACTGAGAGGGGACCTCATCAATACATACAAATGTCTTAAGGGTGAAAGTCATGAGGATGGAGCCAGACTCTTTGCAGTGGTGTCCAGCGACAGGACAAGGGGCAATGGGTACAAACTGAAACATAAGAGGTTTCAGTTGAATATGAGGAAAAACTTCTTTACTCTGAGAGTGATGGAGCACTGGCACAGGCTGCCCAGGGGGGCTGTGGAGTCTCCTTCTCTGGAGATATTCAAAGCCTGCCTGGATGAAGTCCTGCGTAACATGTTCTAGGAGAACCTGCTTTAGCAGGGGGGTTGGACTAGATGATCTCCCAAGGTCCCTTCCAACCCTTGCGATTCTGTGAGAGCTTCCGTGGGAAGCGCTTATTCCCAAGGTGTGCCATGGTGATAGGTCTCAAAAGTGCCTTGGTGGTATGTCCCAGGGATGCTGTGGTGGCATCTCCATTGCTGTGGTGGTATGTCCCAAAGGTGCCGTGGTGGCATCTCCAAGGGTTGCCATTGTGGCATAGAATCATAGAACCATAGAATCCCAGGTTGAAAGGGACCTCAAGGATCATCTGGTCCAACCTTTCTAGGCAAGAGCAGAGTCTAGACAAGATGGCCCAGCACCCTGTTCAGCTGAGTCCTTAAAGTGTCCCATGTGGCTCTGACCCATCATGCATGTCCCAAGGATGCCATGGTGGCATCTCCGAGAGTTGCTGTGGTAGCATGTCCCAGAGAGGTGCCCTGGTGGCATCTCCAGAGGTATGCCATGGTGGTATGGCCCAAGGAGGTGCCCAAAGAGGATGGAGATGTGGGACTGTGATCTCTGGGATCCCTGTGCCTTTTTTCTTCAGCTTAAAGGACCCACTCTGCTAACTGTGTGTCCCACTACAAGGAGAAGCAGCATGGCCGGAGCAGCTGTGTCCTTCAAGCAGAGGGTGCTGGCATGGGCAATGAGCTGGGTTATGAGGTGACTGAGTCGGCCGCAGCCACGGGGGGAGAAATTTCCTTTTCCCCCCAATATTTTGGGGGGGAAAACAAACCTGAGAGATTTCTAGGAGGGGTGCATGGTCCAGCCTTGCTGTGTGTTCCCCCTGCTTCTTCCCCAGGGGATGCAAGCAAAGCCAGTTCCCTTCCTTACTGCCCATCATCCCTCTCCGTCACCTTTCATCAAGCTGGTTTGATTCCTCCTGGATTTTCCCTGTTCCTTGCAAGCTGCGGGTGGAAAAAAATAGAAATAAATTTATTATAATAATAATCATCATCATAACAAGCAGCGTGGGAGCCCGGGGGGGAAAGGAGCAAAGGAGAAATTGCTTTGAGCTGCAAAGGCAGGGCCGCTCTGAAGCCGGGCTCGCCTGAGATTTGGGATGAGAAACCTGCCTTGAAAGGAGCAATTAAAATAGGAAAGCAATTAAATTGCTGCAGAAAAGTGGGGTGTGGGAGCCAGGGTGGGACGCAGAGGGCTGGGGGGGTTGCATGGGGTGCTGTGTCCCTGGCCATGCTCCTTTCTCCTGCGCTTAGGGGCGTTCGA